AGAGAGAGGCTAAGTTCCATCCCTGGGAAAACTAGAAGCAGGTTGTGTTCGCCAAGTATTGGTGTTTTACAGTAGGTGAGTACTATGCTGGGTGTGATTTGGTAGAATTTGGCAGTTTAGCTTTGGAGTTTGTGAATGCGCAAAAATTTCTCCATATAAATGCTACTATGTAATTGCTACTTTGCTTTATACTACACTTCTCCTGATGCTATTTCAGCTCTAGAAATATTTCAAAAGATATCATTGGGAAATCTGTCCACAAATGTTCCTTCTTCTTTTCTTCTTAAAGCAATTTTTGTTTAAATTTGAAGAACTGTGATTGACACCGTTACTGATAGTTGAGTTTTAGGCATATATGTTCTAGCTCCAATCCCACCAACAGTGCCAACATCCCTCTACCAGTGTCCCCAGGTTCCCTCCCATGCCACCCCCGGCCCACCTTGCACCGTGACAACCACATGATAAAGTTGGTGGGTTGTAGTTTGTACCTTGGGAAGGGATCTAGCCATATACAACAAAGCACAGACTCAACAACACTCTATCCCTTCTCTCTCCACGCCGCATCCCCCCCCCCACCCACCGCTCCTTTCTCGTTTTGAGAAAGAGCATGCCAGATCAGTCAGGGTCTTGAAAGCTCTCTCCTGACACCTGTGCTTATTTTTTCAGGGGGTAGAAAGCAGAGGTGTTTGGTCTGGGCTCTGGGAGCAGATCAGGCAGGAGAGGCCAGAGGGGATCAAAGGCACGGAGCCCACATCTGCTTTGCACGTGTCCCGTTCAGCCTGCCCACGCTCTTGCCCTCTCTGCCCCAACCACCCCTGCATGATAAGATGGGGGGAGGGAGGGAGGAAGGGAAAGAGAGAGAGAGACAGACAGACAGATAGACAGACAAAAACAGAGGGAGATAGAGAAGGGGAGAGAGCGAGAGAGGGGGGAGAGATCTACGAGAGAGGGGGATGGAGAGAGGGAGAGACAGGGAGAGACAGAGAGGTGGGGAGAGGGATAGAGGGAGAGACAGAGAAAGAGAGAGGAGAGAAAGAGAGGAAAGGAAAGAGAGAGAACTCCTGTACTCAGCACATTATCTGTGGACGATGCCCGCATCCAGCAGCCTTTTTCTCCTTTCCAAGGAGAACTGAGGCATCCCCAGGGCTTCCCTCTAGCCGCCCCCCCCCCACCCACCCAACACGCCCCAGCAAAGCTGGCTACTTTCACACCGCTCCACTCACGCTCTCCAGATGCCTTTTCCTTTGGCGGGCTGGAAGCCTTTTAAAAAAGGGACACCTTGTATTTTTATTTCACCCACTTCTCTGAAAAGTCCAAAGACGTTTATAGGTACGCACTCTCCAGGCTTTATGGAGACCCATCAAAAAGCGGGTGGTTGCCTTCATCTTTATAGAGTGGGAAATAAAAGCCTGGGGTGGCAGAGGAGCTGTCCTGCAGCCGCATGGTTCCCTGAGGAAGGGTAACAAGCCAGTGGAGGCCTCTGGGGAAGGGGTGGGGTGGGACGGGCATAGCAGAGCTTCTGGGCTGCTGGGGGAGGTGCCGGTGCTTTGGGGGCTTCTCCCAGCTATTGTCAAGTTCTGCCCCACTCCTTCTAGCAGTGAACCCAGCTGTGTCCCTATACTTATGGGGGGGGCCTACAGATTGGCATCAGACTAGGAGAGATTTGGTTGCATCACAGAGTGTGAGTGTGTGTATGGTGGGGGGTTGGGGAGTAGGTTGTTTGTTCTTGCTGGTTTCTTATTTTTTTTTAAAAAATGCTGAAAGTAGCATTAATTAATTAATTAATTAATTCTAAGGGTTTTAATCTGGTTATGCTCAGGCCTTACTCCTGATTCTGTGCTCAGGGATCGCTCCTGGTAGCACTTGGAGGGCCATATGTGCTACTGGGGATTATACTGGGGCAGACTGCATGCAAGGGACATGTCTTACTCCCTTCACTTAATCACTTATCACTTAACTTCCCGTTAGTCGTCGATTTGCTCGAGCGGGCGCCAGTAACGTCTCCATTTGTCCCTGTCGCGTGCTAGTGTAGCCCAATGGCATCTGTTCGCTCCGGGAACATGAAGGGCCTCAAACCGATCGTTCATGATCTTGACGAAGAAGTCTGACCATCTGGTAGGTGGGCGGCCATGCGGTCTTTTGACATCCCGTGGAATCCAGTCGGTAACAGCTCTAGTCCAGCGGTCGTCTTTAAATCTCATTACGTGACCAGCCCATCTGATTTTCGACACCTTGGCAAATGAGACAGCGTCCCTGATTCTTGATCGTCGACGGATATTAGAACTCTGGATTCTTTCTCTCATTTGAGTGAAACGTGATATTCCAAGCATAGCTCTTTCTATTCTTCTTTGGGAGACCTGAATAGTGTTCTCATCTTGTTTGCGTAGGGCCCAGGTCTCTGAGGCATATGTTAATGCAGGAAGAACAGTGGAATCAAAGAGATGTGCCCGGAGCCGGAGGTTCTTCGTCCTCTTAGCTATTTCTTCGACGTTCTTGAAGGCATTCCAAGCCGCTCTCTTCCTCCTGCGCAGCTCGGGTGCCAGGTCATTTCTCATGTTGACCTCTCGACCTAGGTACACATAGCTGTTGCATTCAGAGATGGTCGTTCCGTTGAGAGCGAATGGGACGTCAGGAACGAGGCTGTTTCTCATAAACATTGTCTTCGTAAGATTCAGCTGTAGTCCTACCTTTCCACACTCACGGTCAAAGTCGGCCAGCATTTGTGCCGCTTGGCTGATGTTTGGTGTTATTAAAACAATGTCATCAGCAAAGCGGAGGTGGTGTAGTTGCCGACCATCTATCTTCACTCCCATTCCTTCCCATTCCAGTCGTCGCATGATGTTCTCGAGGGTGGCACTGAAGAGTTTCGGTGAAATGATATCACCCTGCCGCACCCCTCTCTTGACATCAACGATCACTTCTTTGTAGAATTGTGAGATCCTGGTAGTGAATCCGCAATACAGCTCACGGAGGATCCTGATGTATTGGGCTTGAATGCCCTGATTGGCTAGGGCTTCAATGACCGCTTCCGTCTCAACAGAATCAAAGGCCTTCTTTAAATCAATGATTTAATCCCAAACTTTAAAGAATTATTATCATCATTATTATTATTATTATTATTATTATTATTTTGGGCTGGAGCGATAGCACAGCAGGTAGGATGTTTGCCTTGCACATGACCTACCTGGGTTTAATTCCTCCATCCCTCTTGGAGAGCCCAGAAAACTACCAAGAGTATCCCGCCCACAAGGTAGAGCCTGACAAGCTCCCTGTGGCATATTTGATATGCCAAAAGCAGTAACAACAAGTCTCACAATGGAGACGTTACTGGTGCTCACTTGAGCAAATCGATGAAAAATGCGAGGACAGTGCTACAGTGCTACATTATTTTGGAGGGAGACCATACCTTATGGTGTCCAGGGCTTAGTCCTGACTCTGTACACAGGGATCACTCCTGGTGACATTCATATGTAGTGCTGAGGGACAAAACAGGCTGGCCACATGCAAAACAAGCATCTTACCCGAAGTACTATTTCTCCACCGCCTCCTACTCTTTTTGGCCACACTGGGCTCTGCTAGGGGTTTGCTCCTGGCTCTCTGTGCAGGGACCGCCTTGGCAGGGTGGGACTGAAGATCTAACCCTAGTCAGCAGCCTACAGAGCAAGTGCCTTACCCACTGTACTGTCTCTCCAGTACTCTCCTGCTGGTTTCTGACCCTGCAATTATCCTTGAGTCAGAAGCAATAATTGGGCCAGTGTATCCTGCAGTGTATACAGGGAATATTTTCTTAAGGGAAAATTAATACTGTTTTCTTAATAGATGCTCAGGTCAAATTTCTTTAAGAAATAAATGATTGAGATAATGTCAAACATATTTCGTCTTTTTCTTCCTCCTCCTCCTCCTTCTTCTCCTGCTCCTTCTTCTTCTTCCCCTTCCCCTTCCCCTTCTCCTCCTTCTCCTTCTCCTTCTCCTTCTCCTTCTCCTTCTCCTTCTCCTTCTCCTTCTCCTTCTCCTTCTCCTCCTTCTCCTTCTCCTCCTTCTCCTTCTTCTCCTTCTCCGCCTTCTCTTCTTCTTTCTTCCTCTTTATTTTCTTCCTCCTCTTCCTCCTCCTCCTCCTCATCTCCTTCTTCCTTCTCTTCCTCTTCTCCACCTGTTTCATGCATGCAAGGATGTGCTTTACCATTGAATCATCTCCCCAACCCTACACATTTTCCCCTAAAAAGATCTTTTAGGTTTTTGTTGTTACTGATCATTATTAGATCTCTACTAGAGTTAGGTTAGAATGTATTATGTTTCTCCCAACTTATTTGCCTGAGGAATTCTTTTATGAGAAAGCAACTTGGTTAGTTTGGGGTCCATGGAACATCCATTAAGAAGTGTTGGTGTATACATGACAGAGCAAGGAAACCTCTTTTTGGGGTGATATAAAATAAACAGGAGAGATGGCCATAATGAAGCACTTTTGGAACTTGAAGAGTTCATTCACAAACCTTTCTCTCCCCTTCCTTCTTTTCCAACCCAGTTATTTGTACATGTCTCTGTCATGGACCACCAGTAATGCAATGATGTTTTTGGGTCTCTAATATGTACTCTGAAGTCCTGTGTCCTCTCAGTAGTAAATGTTGAGATCACATCTCTCTTATGCCCAAGCAGAGTTGTCTGGAACTCATGCTCATCGTGCTGGTCTATAGCTATTGGATGACCTGGCTGGGAAAAGGGTGCTTGGAGGGGTTGTAGGAGGGCCACAACATCAGAGTTTAGTGAAAAGAGGTTCTAGGATCTGATACCAAAATTTTTATGCCATGGTTCTGCAACCAATTTCAATGACTGTTGACAAAATACCTAGTTTCTCTTGAGCTAAAACTTTAATTTTGAAATAAGGAGCAATTTGTAGCAGATGATCCATCTCTAAGAATTCTTTTAGCTCCATTGTTCCCTGACTCAAGACCTGCTCACTGCCTTGATGCCTCCCCCTGATTTTCTCCCTTTCTTATTTACAGCTCTTAACCATCAATGATAATTTCTGTGGCCTGGATATGAACGCACCCCTGGGCGTGTCAGAGATGGTACGTGGCATTCCTGTCTTCACAGAGGACAGGGACCGCATGACCTCAGTCATTGCCTACGTCTATAAGAACCACTCTCTGGCCTTCGTGGGCACCAAAAGTGGCAAACTGAAGAAGGTAAGAACAAGGAGTCATCCTTCTGATTATTGTGAAAATTGTCGGTCTCCACTGCAATGTTTTTTTTTTTGATCTCATTCTTTTCTTTTGTGCCTTGGCTACTGGACATGTGGTCTATCTTAGAACCAAGGAGTTAGGGTACATTTGAAGTCACCAATGGTGACCTTGGTGACCTTGTCCATTCTCTGTTCTTGCATAGAGTCGTTGTGGGATTCACACTGGGTGAGTGTGTGGAGTCACCTCTTCCCTAGAGTGGGCAATGAAATGTGTCTTAATTGGCCATGTCTCCTGGAACCTTTCTGCCCTTCAGTGTGGGCTTGGATCCAAGGAAGAACTTTATTTGGTGTGGGTTGGAGGGGAAGGAGTGGGGATGTGCCTGTTCCTCCTGGCTTCAGCTCTTTTGGTGGATGTATCTATCCATCAGGATGCAGTTGTAGGAAACAGGTGGAGGAGAATACAGGACCTCCTGAAATTGCTAATGGGGCTTAGTGCCCATCCTAGGAACCCTGGGACTGCAAGATCACAGAAATTGCTCCATGTGGAATAGAATGGAGTGAGTGGGAGATATGGATTTCCTTTTCATTCTTCTTGAACTGATGGAACTGTTGTTTGGAGGTGGTATGTGTTATTTGTCGAGCTGAATCCAGTACAGGAGATAATGACCACCCCAAGAGAGGCCTGGTGTGTCCAGGGGTGGGAAGGTGAGGAAGAGGAATAGAAGCTATGTTGTCAGCAATACAGCTGACCATAAGTATGGCTATTGTGAACATCCATATTGAATCCAGAAATATCGACTTGGTTATTGGTTGTCTGCTAGATATTTCTTCATTTGGGGAGAAAACATGAAAAAGACAGGGTCTGGTGATTTACCATCTGCCACCCCAGAATTAGATATTTTTGTCTGTGGTGTACTGGGTGACCTTGGCCCATCAGCAGTGATGGGGGCACTTACAGTCCGGGACTATTCTTTTGCTCACCTCTGCTCGTGCGTCCCATCTCAATGTGTTGGCGCTAACCCCAGGTGGAACCCTTATTGATTGGATTAACACTCGTCAAGACTGCAGGCCCTGTATTATTCTGACTGGTAATCGGTTGGCACTCAGCCTTTCCCAGGGAAATATCGATCACTCCATGTCTTAGTTAGGCTTTCCCTGGAATTCTTTGGATCTTGTGTGGCTAAGACTGATAAAGAAGCTTTTTGTGATTAGAGATGAAATCCTTATGGCTGTTTTCTCTCCGTGATATTACCGGACATTCTCTTGAGTTGGTCAAGGAGAAAGGGGTTCCACAAATTTAGAAGTCTGTACCCATTCTCCCATCTTGTCTTGTCGTGCCTAAGCTCATTTCCTTTTTTCCATTGTGTGTACCTGGGGATAAGCAGTGGGTATAGGCAGGATCAAGAATACAAGTGTATGTGGATCAGTCATCATGGTACACCCAGGATGGGGCAGGTAACATATCACACCTATGGTGCATGTTAATCATAGTGCACAGCCATGAGTGTTGAATGTATAAACAACTTAACCATCTTCTACAGATCTTTAAGACTGCTGACTGCCTTTCTATGTGAATATACCAAACACAAAGGTAGCTTTAGCTAGAATCTGGACCTTCATGTTGTGATTATCCCTTTGTATGTGGAGCTGAATTTTATAGACAACACTGAAAAAGCCGCAAGGCATTGTGGATGTGAGTCTTGCAGTTCTCTCCGCTCCTCCTCTGGTGCTTGTTGTTGCTCAGTACTGCTGGGTGTTGTTGGGAGTCCTGGTCAACCTCAGTGCCTTCCTGCTCCTTCTGTTTTCTGTGAGCTTGGAAAGTCAGTTGCCCAAGGTTGTTGAAACTATGTTCAATAAGCTACCATATATGAGGAAAGAAAAACATGAGCTTTGGAGCTGCAACCTCAAGATCAATTCCATTGGTTTCTCAGTTGGCTCCATTTTCTATCTTGATGGTAAGCTTGTTTTGCTGGCAGAGTGACTTCTGAATACCAAATGTGGTCCCCACAGCCCTTCCTACAGAGATAGTTGGAATCACACTGTTGAGGTGTCTTGGGCCTCTTGCTTTTTTTTTTTTTTAGTGAATCTGATCTCAGTGTGATGGAGAGATAACTGTTCCAACAGGTGGAAAAATTCCTGTCCATCCATTAACTACCAGTTTCTGGACAATAATTTACTTACTGGCACGACTGAGTAGTTCCTGTGGAAGAGTGTTGTGTGTGTGTGTGTGTGCGCGCGCGCGTGCGCGTGCGTGTGTGTGTGTGTGTATGTGTGTTTAAGCTGGTTAGAATATGGTGCCAGAGATGTTGAGAGTTTAGTGAATATGCAGCAGCTATTTTATTTTGGGGTTATAAAGAACACATTTCCTGGCCATGGATATACCCGAAACAAGACAGCCTACCACCAAACATGGCTACTGTTGATCAGGTAACAAATGGAGTCCAGAATGCAGGAGAGTCAGAGGGCAGCTTATCCCTGTGAGTTTGGGTTGTGGGCACGTCCAAGAATTGGGGAAGTCAAGCACACAGTGACAGCCATTCCGTGGGAGTGGTTGTGGACCGAGCCTTGCCTGCAAGCATCCCCCTAAGGCCAGCCAGCCTGATTGTGATAGAACCACCCCTTGCTTGGTGTCGGGGCTTGATAAACTGGGGGTCGGCGTTTTCCATCTTGGACTTGGGTGGGATGGGAAGAACAGCTCTGTCTCAGCCACCTGGGAGATACTATTTAATTTCCCAGGTGGTGGTGGGGCCGATGAAGCATAAACATGTGCGAAGTAAGAGCAGGGGGGTCATGTGGGAGGGAATGAACCAACAGGTCTCGTGGGGGAAAGCCAGGCCATGGGGCAGGCCGGCTTTCTGCTCCAGCAGCCTAGAGTGACAGCCCATTCCAGAGCCAGGCCGCTGCCGACTCAGCCCAGCAGACCCAGGGGGCCAGTCTGAGTTGGGAAAGGAAGGCTGGGCCACAGAGTCTGTTGTTTGAAATAATAAAAAGCCAAACTGGCCTCTTTATTTATTTTTTTTTTCTGAAACAATAGACATTCTCACCACCCCCCATTCCTCCCATCCCCTCCTCCCTTGCTCTCCAAGCACCGCTCCCCTTTCCTTAAAATAACTCTGTCTTGCTTTTCCCAGAGGTTATCAGAACCCAATGCACCCTTTGGGCAGAGGCCCAGCCACCAACACACGGGGCCTGCGGGAGGGTTTTGCTGAAAGTTTTGTGTGCGCCTGAACCAGGGGGGTGAGGATAATGGAAATTCGACTGCGGCTGTAATTACCGAGTTGGCGTCTCTGAGCCCTGTAATAATCTCCTCTGTGTATCAAGGGCTTGCAGAGTTCTGTGCAATGTGACAAGGGGCAGGGGAGGGGAGGGTGGGCTGGAGGGGGCTTGAGGTCATGAACAGGGGTGGCAGAAAGCTGTAGGTCCAGGGTTCTGGGCCCCAGGCTGTGGCTGTCTGCAGACTCCCCTGAAAATTCCTGACATATCCTTTCCATTTAAAATGTGGGGTGTCCCTGCCCTTTGCAACGATGACCATAATTTCCTGTTGTTATTGTCCACATCACATGAGGCCAGGGAAACGGAGGTGAGGGAAGTGTCCATTTGGACACCGTCTGTGTTTTATGGTGTGTGCGTGTTCAGGCTAAGGTTGGCAGCCTTGGCTGCAGCATGTGAAAGACAGGCCAAGAAATAAGGCACCTACACGATGCAACCTTTTGAAAAATATGTTTTTTTTTTTTTTTAAATTAAGTCATTGTGAGATAAACAGTTACAAAGTTGTCCGTGATTGGGTTTAGGTGACACCAGGTCCCAACCCCAGTCCATTCACCAGTGTACGTTTCCCACTTTCCCTCCTTCCACACGGCTCCTCCCCCACCCCAACCCCTCCCCCGCTAGACTGCCCGGCAGCCATCTGCGGGGTCTGAGGAGGTAGCAATAACCAGGGACCGTTAACATTCCAACAACGGGGAAACTCTATAGGCAACTGCCCTCCTGGTTTGCTTTAGAGTATGTGTCTGCATAAATCTGAAAACCTTTGACCTCACGTTGAAATAAGGAGGTCAGCGTTGCTCCCCAAAGGACAAGGTCACTGTGTGCTTAAATATTTCCGCTTAAGTTACCAGTTTCCTCGGGCCCCTTCACTCCACGGTCTCCCCAGTTTCTCTGTCTCTGTGTCTCTGTCTCTCTGCATCTCTATCTCTGTGTCTCTGTCTGTATCTCTCTGTCTCTGTCTCTCTCTGTCTCTCTGTCTGTCTCTGTCTCTGTCTCTCTCTCTCTCTCTCTCTCTCTCTCTCTCTCACAACCCTCTCTCATTCCAGCCACTAAGTGATGGTGTTTTATGCCTGCGGCTCAGCAGTAAGAGATGAGTGTTCATCGGGAACTCAAACATCATCAATTTCCATTTGAGCTTTGAGTGTCCCTTCCCTGGTGTGGCTGCCTCTTTCCCTGGGGTGCCCACCTAGACTGTTCACCGCCCCCTCCCCCGCTTTGTGGTCCGCGGGCAAACAGGTTCCGGGAGGTGCCCCGTGCGCGCACGCACACATGCACGCCACACACCAGCGTCTTTGGAGAGGCTCCAGAGAAAAAACCCAGGCCTTGCCAGCACTACAAACTCACAACTCCAGTGGATCAGTTTCACCTTTCTGGTTTTGTCTGTTTGTTTCCCTGGAGCCTGTTTTGAGATGGATGCATCTGTGGGGGTGTGGTAATGGTGGTGGGGGGCAATCAGGGGGGAGAAGGGCCGAGAGAGTTCTGCCTGGAGGTGCATTCACTGTGCTACAGAAAGTTCTCAGAAACAGATGCTCTGTGTGTGTGTGTGTGTGTGTGTGTGTGCTCGCGCGCGCGCGCACGCTCGTGCACACATACACACACATGTATGTTGTGCGTGTGTCAGTCACAGGGCAACAGCCAACAAACTCAGACCAAAGTTTGTTTTTCTTAAAACCTGGTGGCTAAAAAAAAAAAAAGCATTGTTATGTTAAAGAAGACAAACAAGGCAAGTGGAAGAAA